CGCTGGTATGCTGTAATATAGAAGATGTGATATCACCGGGACACCCCCGTCCTCTTGTGCCAAGGACTGGTGGCTCAAGGTCGACCAATCAGAAGTGAGCTAGGCTGAAGGTCGACCAGTCCGAAGTGAGCTAGTGTGTATTTGGTTGTCCGTGGGGAAACTAACCTTTCTATTACCGGATTTTCTTATTCATGCTAATCAAGTCTGTCACTATCAGTGCTTGGATTCTTTCTGTTCCGCCAACCAAGCAGGTGTCCCTATGGAAACTGCTATCTCCATCAACATCATGCTAGAAGTAGTAGTAGAACTGAATGACTGACTTTCTTTTGTTGCTGCTTTTCCATTCACCTGTACTGTTCATCAAGTGTTTTTATTGATAAGGGCCTTTTTTTCAGCATCAGTGGATGCTTTGCTTCATGTGTGTTTATGAGTGCTTTTATATGAGTATGAAGAAGTTTGGGTTTCATAAAGTGACATAAAGTCTTTGTATTGAAGAGATATAATTGTAGTGGAGAATCATCATCTTCATTATTTCAGGGATGCCTTTAGACTACAGATGTGGTTCGAGTGTATACCTCTTTCAAAGGGATTGCCCCAGGTTATTATTATTATAAATGCAGAAGGGAATTCCTTTTTTTGAAAACTAGATAGTAGGTGGGGCCTCACTACAGTTAAAATGTGAACAAATGGAAAATCTAGTAAAGCCCCTCCCACAATTTGATCAGATCCAACTGTGTTTAATAGTGAAGGAAAAAAAGGGAGAGGGTGCATTTTTGTAGAACCACACTACATAACTACAGTTAAAACACTAAGAATGAAGTGAAAATTTCAAACAGGTAGTTGCCACAAAATTAGAATTATCATCATCATCATCGTCATAAACCACTTCTGCCATTAAGCACAGCGGTGAGGAATAATTTGCGATCCAGTTACGATGGCTGCCATTGTCTATTGTCATGGCGTAGAGTGTCTTTAATGTTGTCGATCCATGTTTTCTCTGGCTGTCCTCTTGCTCTTGTAGCTGATCTTCTGAGATGTAGTGCTTGTGATGGTATTTGATCTTGCTGCATTCTAATGAGATGGCCAACCACTTGATCTGCTGTTTCTCTTTTAGAAAATTAGTAAATCTCTGAAAATTAGAATAAGGGTAAACAAATATACCAGTGAAAGACCAATTCACTAAATTTATAGAAAGAGAAAACAATTTATCTTCTCTGGCATAAATGGACACAATGGTCCATATGACTTAATTGTACGTTATAAAATATAAACTAACTGGTCAATATTGAGTACACTGTTGAAAACAACCTGGCTGGATTATGTCCCATTTAAAGACAGATCAATGCGAATAAGAAGCAGCTGTGGTAAGTTCTCATCTGGTACCGTCACCAAGGGTGTTGCCATCTCATTACAATACAGGTCAAGACATTCTTCACATGGGAATCTCGATCCACCAGATGTAGAAATGTGACTGGTACACAGGCTACTAGCTCTGGAGCTTATGCAAGCTGCGATTGGTCACATCTTTGGTGACATCCCATAATTGCCAGGCCCCAAGCAGAGCTTACTGAGCAACAGTATTGCCACTTTGGATGTTTTACATCCAGATTTAGATTGCATTTAGATGGCGTTTTTGACGTTTAGATGGTAGATGTTTTTATAGATTTTTCATTTGGAGTGAATTTATCAAATCTAACATAAGGAACAGGATGAAATTGGACCTTTTAAATGCTATCTTGACAATCAAATTCGGCCTGATAAGAGTAGGAAAAGGGTGTCCCACTTATCAGCTCCCTGACTGCGTATTAAAAGAAATTGGAACAGCTAACGCATACAAGAGTTATTTTTGATCTGAAGCTTCAACTTCATCATCCAAGCTAAGTTTATCCTGTGGATCTTGCAAGGCAGACTTCAGTAAAGATGAGGACATAATTCTATAGGATAAGTCATATCAATTGCTATGCAATTTGTGACTCTTTCCATTTGGATGTTGACTCCGTTTTGGATGTTTTTTGTCACACACAAAAAAAGTGGCAACGCTGCAGGCAGTGGACTTTCATTAGGACAACCAGCCAGCCAATAGGGAACACTGTCAGACCCTCGTCATGCCCACTTCTAAAGATATGGCAGGAAATACATGGGGGAAACGGCTCTACGACTGGCTGACAGGTTCAGACATCTTTTGGATGTGTAGAACGGTGCCCTGAAACCAGTACCGTTGCGCTTTAGTTCCCAGGATCATCAAGGTGTCCGCGATATAGAGGTGACATTAAATCTACCTACTTCAGCGACAGAGTCCGTATGTCCTTTGAGAATCTCTTTATTTTCACCTTGGGGGACACAAACACCTAGGGGACTTAACTACCAATACAGTTTCGTTTAATATCTTCGAGTTGCGGTCCTGGGAATTCTCGGACTATTTGTTCCCAGGCCGCACTTGTTTCTTTATTCAACTGGCAAGACATCAACGTGGCTGCTTCGGGATACGTCAAGTCATTTAGTGTGTTCGTGTGGTTTTGTTTGATTTATGTATGTGCTTATGAAGGCTCTGTAACTGCAACGTTCACTTCTCATTTCTGTTTGTTATACTGTTAAGCTCGCTGATCTTTTTTATTTAACATTGCTGTTCAAGAGATTTAACTATCCTCTCTCTCTCCTCTCTCTCACTCTCTCTCTCTCTCTCTCTCTCTGACTGACTGACTCTCTCTATCCCACTAGGACATAACACAGACAATATACACCCGATGACACAAAGTGCCACCATGTGGATGAGGATCACCGTGGAGAGGTCCCAGAAACCGCGTTCAGACAATTGGCCATATTTATGGCCTGCCTATATTGCGGCCCCTGGAAAAAGCCAGGGTGGGGCTTCAAATAACAAAAAATTACGTCCTTATTGTACCAACTCTCTTTCTCTCTCGCTCTCTTGATTTTATAAGGCACCAGCTCGCTGGCGTCAAAAGAAGTAGTTCCCTCTCATGTTACCTTTATTCTTTCTGCAGCCACTGGCTGTTACAAATACATTTGATCCCGCAGTCACGGCTAGCGAGCTCAGCGACTGGTCTCATTAAACTTTAGTTGTCTGTTGTTACCATTCATAAATCTTATTTGTCTTTAACGGGGTCTGCGTGGTCTCGAGGCATAGCGTCCACATTGAGTGCTAGAGGTCCCAGGTTCAGACCCAAATGAAGGCTGGGATTTTCTCACGTGGACTTCTAGTAATTTCCCTCTCTGGGTAGCAAGATCGGACGCCTGTGTGTATTGTTGCGCACGTAAAAAATGCCTTAGCAGTTGGAAAGCGAAAAGAGTAGCCTAACGGCGATTTCGAGTTTAAAATCTATCCAAAGTATTTCAGGATCCTCGCCGGTGCTACAGAGTTCGTGCACTGCGCCGAGATTCTTTGGACACGACTTGAGTTAGAAGTAGAAAAGATCGCTTATGGGTTACTACTCCTGTGTTAGATGTTGAACCGCTGTTTAAATCTAAGGTACTTTCATTTGTCTTTTAAATCCTTGTTTGTATTTCAGGCCGTCAGTCTAGCGCTAGGCATGACTGCTGTGTGTGTGCGTGTGGGTATGAATGAGTGTTAGTTAGACACTTAGTTAGTCGACAGATTATTCTCATTGCACATCGAACCACTGAGTCCATAAGTGCTCGGATCCCCTCCCCAGTAAACCCCGCAGCGTGTAGCGGGTGAAGAACCAGGGCCTCCAGAGTTGATACATTTGTTAACATTTTGAACCATCTGACCCTTTCCGAGTAGTAGTAGTAGTAGTAGTAGTAGTAGTAGTAGTAGTAGTAGTAGTAGTAGTAGTAGTAGTAGTAGTAGTAGTAGTAGTAGTAGTAGTTTTACTCCACTAGGACATCACACAAACGACAAATATCCGATGACACAAAGTGCCACCATGAGGATGAGGATCACCCGTGGAGAGGTCCCAGAAACCCTAACTCTAACCACGACACAAGACATGAAAGAGAACATTCCTTCACTAGCCTTCGGAACTTAAAGATAAGCTCGCTTGATCAATCAAGTCAAATGGTACATTTGCATCACTCTTATTTCCAATACCGTCCTAATCACTGTTCCTTTCAAAAGATTCAACACAGTGCCAACATTTAAAATAGTAATGCCAAAATTGCGGACACATACCAAAATATTGGGTGGGGTACAAAAAGCATACTTTGCTCGGCAACTGTTAAACAGTTCCAAATGTGTACGAAAGAACCAACTTCAGCAGCCCTGACCTGAAGTAGGTGAGAAGATGCTTTGCTGTGGAAAACACTCGTCACGTTCAACATGCATCAGCAAAGGGGGAGCTTTAGGGTATAATTGTGACTAGGATATATGCGCCATATACGATAGCTTAGCATTACTCTTGCTTGCAAAGTTGATGCGATCAAAGGAAATAGACCTCAAATACTGTCCTGACCTGCGACGAAGTTGTCTTCCGGCGAGCCAGTAACGACCCTGTACCAGAAGACATTAATTTAGAAGCTGACTCTTAGTTAGTTGGTTAGTTAGTTAGTTAGTTAGTTAGTTAGTTAGTTGGGTTATCCTCATTGCACTCCGGACATGTCCATAGGTGCTCAGATCCTCCCCTCAGTATGAACCCCAACGTCCGATGGCTAATAGTACCAGTTCTATGTTGATTAACAAGTCTTCTGGCGTAGCTGGTGTGCGTCTCGTTTTTTGCTGTGCCGATCTTAATTCCCAAGTCTGCCATTCTGGCGAGTGATGTGGATTCACTGCCACCAAAGTCCTCTATTCTTCCCATTTCTCTGAGGGCATTGATAATATCAGCATAATCCATAGGCTGACCGTCGGTAGTGATAGCGGATCCAGCCAACCTGTCAGCTCTTTCATTTCCATCGACGCCTGCGTGTCCCGGAACACAAATAAAGCTGACTCTATTTATAGTAATCACGTGACTTACAGAACAAGATGGCGACAGTTGACGTGGAATAGTAAGACAGTTTTGAGCACATCGAGTCGACACAGCATGTCGGAGAAAGACAACACGTCAGAGAAAGACAACATTGCCAGACAGGTACAGCTAGTGTATATCCAGAGTCAAGTCTAACCAAATCTCACCCCCACCTCCTTTCCGGCCGAATCAATTCCTAATATCGATACGATTGCCCCCAAATACAAATTTAAAAAAAAAAAACACTGCAAATCACGATATTGATCAACTTCGACCTTTGACCCTTTTTCTCTGTACTTTGAGGACTACAACAGAATTTATGATATGAGTATATATTGGCATATTTCCGTCGTTTCGGGCCATAGATTGTAATTACAGTACCTAAAGAGAGGTGCGGAAATCACAGTCCCTGGCGGTGGCGTGTATGACCGTTCCCCCCCCCCACCCCCCTTTTTTGCTTTAACTCTTTCGGGCCCATGAATTTTGACAGACTTGGCTCACATTAATTTCCCTTTACAAAAATGGCAGAGGAAGGGCGTTTAAAAAAAAAAAAAGGCAATTAAGAATGTAATACATTTATAATTCATTCAAAAGTATGTACTTTTTAAAGAGGACTGAATGTACATTTTGAATCTGATAACGTGTTTTTGTTTAATGCTGACTTATAATTAGTAGGTGTTATGTTTACAGAAACACAATTTCACAAAATAATTCTTCACTGTCATGGTTTTGCAGCCACGGTGAAAACATCTAAATTTGAGAATAGCTTTTGATAAAATGAGTTGGTTGAGGACCTTTACTCCATTAGAGGTTAGAAGGCCAAATAAGAAGAGACAATTCGTCAGTGCATTACTTTCAAAACAGTAATATAACAATTGTAGTCACCATTGAATGTGCCAGATTTCTTGAGTGTCTTATATCCAAGTAAAATAAAAAGAAGAGGTTTCAGCTGACAGAGTGTTTTACACATCATGCACAGTTTATGACTCCAATAGTTAACATTGATTGTTACAGTTCTTTTCACGACTGCCAAATAGTTTGTTTTGTCTGCAGTATTAAGCTACAAACAAAACTGTATAGATTTAACATTTTTCTTCTTCTTTCTTCTTCGCGTTCACCAGCTGTAAACTCAGGCGGAAAGCTCTGGTTGTTCATCACTTCTGGACTGCAGTCCTGTTCCAGAACCTGAGTGTTGCGTATGCATCCGTTTTACAGATCTAAGTCATTTGTATGTAGACTGTTGGTTCCTTGCCTCTCGGGCAGATGCACTCCGACTTCGTAGGAAGCTCCCAATTAGTCGACTCTTACGACATGCTTTTGGGTAGGCAGTGGGTCTATTCTTGTTTTTCCTATAATAGGGCCCCGGAATCCACACAGGGAGAGATTTAATATTGATTGTTACAGTTGTCTTCGTGGCTGCCTTAAGGTTTGTTTTGTTGACCATATTTTGCAGTACCCACAGTCTGATCTTCAGTTTACAGTGTGTCTTGTTTCTGCAGGCTGATGAGGTGGAAGCTCTTTCAGCCATATATGGAGACGAGTGGTGTGTGGTAGACGAGGTGTCCAACATTTACTGCATCCGTGTCACAGACAGAACTGAAGCTCCCAAATGGATAGTAAGTTTGCAGGTAATCATTGGCTGAATTATGCATTTTGTGTTATTATTAAATTTTTTTTTTAAGTCATGTATTTCAGAGCTGTCTTATTGCTTGCAACTGATATGAACAGTGTCAGGTGTCAAAATTAACATATGATAGATGTTCCCCTAGCATACTCGATTTGTGATTGTCGGACAGATCTAAGCCTGAAAGGTTCAGAAAGAAGACAGAAGAAAATATATTTATAAACCTTGAAAAGCTGCACAACAAATAATAATATATGCTGTAACGATTGTTGGACATATCTAAGCCTGAAAGGTTGTGGAAGATGGGAGACAATGTATTTAGTAAGCTAAAATAGCCACAACACAAATAAAACATTCGCTCCAACAGTTTCTTAAAAATGCCAAATGATCTTGAGGATTGGAGACTCTTCTTCTTCGTCTGAGCATCCACCGGCTGTAAACTCTGGTGAGAAGATCTGGTTGTTCATGCAATTGAGGACTTTGCTGTTGTTTTAGAACTTGAGTTTTGCAAGCACATCTGTTCTAGACATCTGGTTTACTTGTATGCAGACTGTTGGTTCTTTGCCTCTGAGGCAGATACACTCTGATTTTGAAAGAAACACCTCTCCTAATCAGTCAATTTTTACGGCCTGCTTGTTACTGTTCAGTGTGTCTATTCCCCCCTCACCTTGACCCAAAGTGTGGTCCCAGAACCCACATGGGGCGATTGCAGTCTCGTAGTGACAAGAGTTTCCTTCACACTGAACATTTAATGAAGAAGAAGAAATGTTGTCCTATTTAGCTCAGTCTTGTTCATTGACAGCCCCAACAAGTGCTCTATTTTTTTGCTATGTTTTATTTCAGAACCATAAATTTATCATTCTGTGTACTCACAAGTCTCAAATTCTTCTCTCTCTAGGTGCATATGCCGGCAGAGTATCCTCTACTGGGGCCTCCAGAGTATCAGATCAAGTGAGTGTTGGAGGTAGAGATACAGGCTTTATCTCTTTTGTTATTTCTGAATACTGTTATACCCATGTGGGTTCTGGACCGCATTGTGGGGAAAACAAGAATTGACCCACTGCCTACATAGAAAGCATGTCGTAAGAGTCACCTAATTGGGAGCTTTCTTCAAAGTCCTAGTACATCTGCCTCTGTGGCAAGGAACCAGCAGTCTGCATAAAAAGGAGTCGGATCTGTAAAATGGAGGTGCATGCAACACTCAGGTTCTGGAACAAAACTACTCCAGAAGTGGATAAACAACCAGAACTTTCCGATGGAGAATACAGCTGTCGAACATAAAGCAGAAGAAGATGAAATACTGTTACCTTGTTGTGCAGGCTTTATTGATAGTGCCCTTGATTATCACCAGCCTGCTGATGAATGCCTTTTGTCACCATACCCAACAAGAGGAGAAATAAACTAGTTATGTAAAACAGATGTGCACGCAATACTCAGCTTCTTGAACAAGACTAAAATCCAGAGGTGGACGAACGACCGGAACTTTCCGCCTGAGTTTATAGCCGGTGAATGCGAAGAAGAAGTCCTTTAGAATACAGAATCAGTTCTAAATTACACACAAAAACAGCAGATTAAATGGTTTTCCCACTTAGAGAGAATACCCTCTGGCCCCATACCACACAAGGCCTACATGAAAAGAGGAGAGGGACATAGAGTGCATGATTAACCAAGGACAAGATGGAGAGATAACATCAGAGACATTCTAAAACAGCACTGTTTGTTATGATGGTCAGAAAAGCAAGCTTGAAACCCTAAGTGGTAAAAGAAGACATGAAGAAGTAGAAAAAGAAGTCAAAGACTGATTAATCAAGATTTTTGAAATGAATGTAACACAGTAACAACAATCCATTATTTGCTGTAAGATTCACACACAGTAATAAGAAAGAGAAAATTGTACATCTCCATATTTAAGATTACTACAGTGTACAAGGCTTCAAGTAATGGGGCAACTATCTCCCCTGTTGACACACAAGCAGATGCCTCGAAGTACTAAAGTGAATCTTATCAGAACTATTTTTTGGCCAACACTATGCTATCAGTGCCAGACGTGGACACTTACATCCTCCAATGAACGTAAAATTGTGACAATAGAGATGAAATGCCTTAGAAAAGCTGCAGGAGTTTCAAGGAAAGACAGAACACAAAATCATGAAATCAGAGGAATGCTAGGAATAAAGCCAGTCTTACAGGTCATTAAAGAACAACAAATAAAGTGGTTTGGACACCTAACAAGAATGCCCTGGTACTATCTGCCACAGGGAGCCACACTAAAACTTTACAACAGGTATAGAGCGAGTGGAAGACCACTGAAAATATGAAGTGATGGCATTAAGAACAGCCTTACAGAAATTAACATCAGTCTTAATAGTGCTCTTGACAGAGCTCATCAACGAACATTACATCTCCCCCCGACGCTTCGATGAGGTAAAAGGTGGAAGAGAAGAAGAAGAAGAACAGTGTACCACTGTTACTTTTGGGAATATTCCCGGGTGAGGCCCCTATCATCATCCATGGGGCAGCTCTTGTACCATTGTCCGAAAACCATGAGCGTTTAAAAAAAAAAAAAAAACTCTGGAAACAAACCCTAGCACTTGAAGATCATACCATGTTTTGCAGCATTTGGTAATCTCTAGGCCACAGAATGATACACATGTTAATCAACAAATGTTACGGTCAAAATGGACGCTAGGCCTGGTCACTGATTTGAGTCGTGGCACATTTTTTGCTTCTGCCAGGCGGTGGCCGTTGCATTTTTGCTTTATTTGTAGACTGAAAGGAAAAAGTTTCGTCGCCCAGCTTCTGAGTTGAGTGCATGGTGTGACACTGTGAGCTGCAGATTTCATTTCAAATGATTTTCAACTGTGACCAACGTGGTGGTGTGAATTGTAGATTCAGAAAATGGTGCGATGCCGGTTGTCACAATATTGATGGTGGCATTATGTGATTAAAATTGATCGCGAGTGCAACTGCTGATTTTTTATTGACTTCTGCTACCAACAAAAATGAACTGCATTTCTAATGGCGGACTGTTTGTGTTGGCACTTCTGATGGCTAAGTAATGCTTTTACTGCATGTGTATGCTAGTGCATATGGTGAGACAGCAGTCTGTCAATCTTTCCACAATGGACTGTGATAAACATTCTGTGTGTTTTCGTTGGCACAGGAGCGAAGCAACCATGGGGTGACTCGTTTGCTATGAAGCTGAAAGTAAGATTACCAAGATTACCAAAAAAATGTTTAAAATACGGAGTGAGTCACGTAATTGTCACGTTCTTTCTATCATTGTGGGCTATGAGTTCTTCTTCCTCTCTTCCTCCTCCCCCTCCTTCTCCTCAGTGTTCACTGGCTTTAAGCTCCAGTGGAAAGTCCTGGTTGTTCATCTACTTTTGGACTTTGGTCTTGTTCCAGTACTTATCAGTTTTACAGATTTGGTTTATTCGTGTGCAGGTGGTTTGTTCCTCACTTTTCCGGCGTTTGCACTCTGACTTTAAAGTCAAGTAAACGTCAATCTTGTTTACGCTTGGCAGGCTTCTGATTGGAAACTTGTGACCAGGATGGCTTCTGTCAGGTGTAGACTAAGATCTTGACCAGTTTGTACGTTTCGCCTTGTGCACCACTTCTTGTGAATCAGCACCGGGCATTCTGGTCTGTGAGTAACTTAGCTGCCATCTGTCAAGGTTACACTGATGCAGCAAGAGTTAACCTGAGATGATGATTAAGCAGCAAGAGTTAATTATTATTGTCATTATTTGAACAAATGTACAGTAGCTGCCTATTATCTTTGTTTTTATTTCCCAGTGCTACCTGGCTGAGAGGGCAGCAGCGGCTCAACTTGGAGAACAAGTTGTCACAGATATACTGGTAAAGTAAAACCCTTTTTCTTTAAAAGTATCTTCAAAATATGATTTTTTTTTTCTTCAAATTTCATTTGGAAAAAAACCCCACAAAAGTGCATTAATTCAAGTCTAAAACTCTACCCTCAGAAACCAGAGCCAGAACCGGACAAGAAAAAAAACAGCAGAATAAGTGTTAGGCAGTTGTTATAAATAATTAGGAAAGAGAGACCCTACCCCACAGAACAGAAAGGCGTGCGTGAATTCCTCTGCTTGTTTAATAATGTCAGGTCACACGCAAAATTTACAAAAATTCTGTCCAGTCACTAAATGTTGAAATTGAAAAAAGCTACATTTCTGTGCCAAGGGAAGTAATCAATAAATTCAAACAGAACAAAGAATTACCAGATTTCCTTCCCTTTAACCATTTAAAAGTGGTTTTAGTCACTTTTACACAAAGAACAGTGTGACACAGTTATGAAATTCACTGATGCCATTTTTATGTCACATTTTTAAAGAACATTTAGTGTGTGTAAATATAATTTTTGTGAAATATAAGTACATGAGGCGGGAGAGCTGGTGAGAGACCAAGTTTCTTTCAGGCAGACCATAAGTACATGAGGCGGGAGAGCTGGTGAGATACCAAGTTTCTTTCAGGCAGACCATAAGTACATGAGGCGGGAGAGCTAGTGAGAGACCAAGTTTCTTTCAGGCAGACCATAAGTACATGAGGCGGGAGAGCTGGTGAGATACCAAGTTTCTTTCAGGCAGACCATAAGTACATGAGGCGGGAGAGCTGGTGAGAGACCAAGTTTCTTTCAGGCAGACCATGATAAGAGTGATGTTCTGCAAAGGACTACATGATGCCCACATGCCCTGAACACTATGCAGGTGCAACCAGCAATAAAATTGTTACATCGTATCATCAACAAACCTGACAGCCTTATTTGAGCAACCTGGTTAATTATATGTTTTCTGACATTATTCTGTTACATGAGGTCTGAATGGTTGAGGGATTTGCCATTTGCCTCTGGCGCATGTTGTTTTGGGTTCCAGTTTGATTAAAGATGATATCTTCATCACAGATTGTTCAGATCACTCTGTTGATGTCATTCTGCTCTTTGACCCCTGGATGGGATAAGGCAGCCATTCTCAACCTGAGTCGTTACCTTTTTCTCGGTCTAATGATCTTTTTAATAGAGATCACCAAAGACCATCACAAAACTCATATTCATTGAAGTTATGAAGTTGCCACAGCATGAGGAACTGTGTTAAAGGGTTGCATCATCAAGAAGGTTGAGACCCACTGCGATAGGGGATCAGGTGCCAAGCAGTTTCAGACAGGTGCCTAAACAGCAGACGCTGTGTGCCTATGTCTGTATAAGATGTTGGTATTTGAAATTTTTGCCACTTTCCTGGTAACATTTCAGGTTAGAAGAGCTGCTGACAATAAAATACAGTGGTCTTCTTCTTCTTCTTCTTTGCGTTCACCAGCTGTAAACTCTGGTGGAAAGTTCTGGTTGTTCATCCACTTTTGGACTGCAGTCCTGTTCCAGAACCTGAGTGTTGCGTTTGCATCCGTTTTACAGATCTGACTCATTTGTATGCAGACTTCTGGTTTCTTGCCTCTCAGGCAGATGCACTCCGACTTTGAAGGAAGCTCCCAATTAGTCGACTTACGTCCTGTTTGATATACGTCCCGTTTGGTATACGTCCAAAGATCTGAAACAAATTAAGGATGTATATCGAGGTACCACTGTACCAGATGGGCTTCACAGGGCAAGAACACAGAGCTGGTCTTAGACTTTCTAGTTTTGTAAGGTGGAAAACTGTGATCATCCTTGCATACCAGCAGAGTATATGATGCTAATGACGGCTTCCAAAACAGGATATTTTCATGTGTGGGGTTGCAATTGAAGCATTATCCTCAATGCACTCAGAATTGTCAGCAGAAGCTCCAGGTTTTAAATTTTCTTTTATCACATTTTTATGTTTTCTTTGTCTGTGTTTCTTTCTATTAAGTATATTTATTCCTGTGGTATATGTTTCTTTCCAATGTATATATTTCTTCCTAGTGTGTGTACTTCTTTCCATTGTGTATGTTTCCTTTAGTTATGAATGTGTCTTCCTATCATGTATTTTTTTTCCCCAATGTGTCTGTTTCTTCTTAAAATGTAGGTTTCCTTCAGTTCTGTATGTTTCTTCCCATTGTGTATGTTTCTTCCCACTCTCCATGTTTTTTCCAATTGCGCAAGTTTCTTCCCAATGTGTATGTATTTGCAATTATATATATCTCTTCCCGTTGTGTATGTACTTGCAATTATATATATCTCTTCCCGTTGTGTATATCTCTTCCTATTGTATATGTTTCTTCTCATTGTGTATGCTTCTTCCCATTGTGTATGTCTCTTTCCATCGTGTATGTCTCTTCCCATTGTGTATGTCTCTTCCCATCGTACATGTCTCTTCCCATCTTATATGTCTGTTCCCATTGTGTATGTCTCTTCCCATCGTATATGTCTGTCCCCATTGTGTATGTCTCTTCCCATCGTATATGTCTGTTCCCATCGTATATGTCTGTTCCCATTGTGTATGTCTCTTCCCATCGTGTATGTTCCCATTGTGTATGTCTCTTCCCATTGTGTATGTCTCTTCCCATCGCATATGTCTGTTCCCATTGTGTATGTCTCTTCCCATCGTATATGTCTGTTCCCATTGTGTATGTCTCTTCCCATCGTATATGTCCGTTCCCATTGTGTATGTCTCTTCCCATTGTGTATGTCTCTTCCCATTGTATATGTCTGTTCCCATTGTGTAGTTTCTTCCCTTTGTGTATGTTTCTTCCCTTTGTGTAGTTTCTTCCTTTTGATGTATTGCATTATTTTTTGATTCATTTCTCTGTATCACATTTCAACTTGCCAGTGACAATATCGGAGAGGACCTGGTTTTCCTCTGGGTGGAGGCGGTTCGAGAGTTTCTTCAAGAGAAGTCGGACGAAGGTAAAGGTCAGCTGTTCAGTCTTTGTGATTTCATTTGCCAGAAGTTGAAACAGTTTGTGAAATAAAAACCTCTTGCCTTTGGTTAACTGTCAGGGAAGTGCTGGGGCAGGGAACATTTGTGTCTCAGCTTGGGAAAGCTCTCACCATACCACAGCTGTGAAACACTATGCCAACAAAATAATAAAAAAAGGCTAAAATCAAAACAAAATTTTTCCAACTGTTATGTCACTGATCCGAAGGCATGTTGATAATATGCACACATGGTGCCTTTTTAAGGCTTTGACTGGGAAAATCAAGAGAGGCATTTGGTTCATTCGACGAGAATCCGGTGGAGTGAAGTCCAGTAGTAGGCTGTGGAAAAAGTCCTAATGGGCCATAAAGAAATTCTGCCTTATTATGTAAGTGGTTATGGTTGGTAGTTTTTTTCTTCTTGAAAGGATTGCAGGCTGTAAGATTAACCCCTTAAGGATGAGAATTAAAAGATGTGGCAACAGCTGAAAATTGTAATAATTTGACATCAGATGAACTGCTTTCTACATTTGTTTTTGTTTGTTTATTTAGCTGTCAGGTGGGCTGCAAAACGGTTTCCCCTGGTTTAGTAGCCACGAGGGTTAAAAAAAAAAGATTGAAAAACGTCAATCTGGAAGACCATAGGCTTCATCTGTGCGTCTGATATACTGGTGTTCAGATTTTGGTTTGGGAGGGTGAGGGGGGCAGCTGGTCTGTCCTTTTCTCACCCAAAATGGGGCCCCCGGACCCAGATGGGAAGTGTGTGCCAGGGAAGACAGGAAACAGCGGAGGACATTGATAACCAGCTCATACATTAGGACACCTCAATGACTAACAGAGACCAGTCTGGAACCGGAGAAGCTTCTCAAGGAGGCTAGCTAGAGGTGCCGGGGAAGTCACGTAGCACACACTCGTGTCGGAGTGTCAAATGTTGGGACTTCATTATTATTATTATATTATTATTCGGAGTGTCCGAAAAGTTTCCTTACATAGAAAAAATAAACATATCTTCTTCTTTTGTTCGCTTGAAACAAATTATCTATATCTGCAATGTTGTCTCTAGTATGAACTTCACTGTCTTTTGTCATTCGCTTAGTGGCCCTTAAAGTTTGGCTTCCATCAGTGCCTCTCTGAGCCACAAGTTTTGCCTAGAAATGTTGTATTTGGGAGCAAAAAATTTACATATCACCAACATCACTACAAGCATATCTCCAGCTGTGTTTTAACGTGTTCTTCAACAGTGGGGGGCGGGGGGGGGGGGGCACGTATGGAAAACAATGGTAGTCATGTAGGGCATATTTTATGAATATGGTTTTCATAAAATGTTTATTTTTCGTACATATTGAAACTTGTGGGTACATATATATGTTGTCAGCTTTCTGTCTTCCCATTGTGTTGTAGGAAGGCATAGGAATAATTACGGTCCGAGGAGAGTGACACTGCAAGGAGTTGCAAGGGGATCTGGCTGAGACTCGACACTCAGGGAAAACCCCGAGATGAATTTACAATCGGACAGTTACTGGAGTACCATCGCAATTTTAATTCTTTGCTGCTGAAGAGGGGGAGGGAGTGCTTATTGGGGTGTCCTGAGTGCTGTGATGATGATTCTGAATTCAACATTCAACAAGAGGAATCAGAGCCCATGATGTGGATGAGTGCGACCAGCAAAACCCACTAATGTTAAGAATTCTCCCACAATTACAGCATGGGATTTCAAGGCCATCACATGTATGAGTTGGGTTGATGAGTTGAGTTGAGTTGACTAAAGAACCGACATCACAGCACTCGGGTCATTCCCATAAGCCCTCCGCCCCTATCCTCAGAGTTCCAGTACCAGTGGTGCCAACAGCATTCTGATTCTACGTTCATTTTGCCTTTCCTCTGAGGGTCGAGTATCAACCAGATCCCCTCGTCATGGCCCGCTGCATCGCTCTCACCAGACTGTGGTGATCCATTCGCTCCTCTGACTTGTACAGTTCTCCGACATGCCCTATCATGTATGAGCATTCCACCAAGTTGTGCAATGCCAGCCAGTCTGTCTACCTGTTCATTTCCCAGCACTCCGGCATGCTCCATCACATGTATTTAATGTGCTTCGTCTCGGACACTCAGGTCTTATCCTATCTGCAGTCATTTTCTCCTTTATCCCTGTTCCATTTCTCATTCCCCCCCCCCCCCCCTTTCCCAATCCCATCTTTTTTTCTCTCCTGTCCCAAAACTGTACCTCAATACCTGTATCATTCATGATCCCACTTGCGCATATTAATATATCACTACAGAGGCTGACCTCAGTATCTTCTGCCCATCCCAGTGGTAAAGTTCCTCTCCTCCAAAGCACACAGCCTGGGCAGTATTGCAGAGACCATGTGTTGCTCACGCAGCTTAGCTCTATCAGGCCCAGGGGGTTTATCATCACAGGCCCAGGGGGGTTTATCATCACAGGCCCAGGGGGGTTTATCATCACAGGCCCCAGGGGGGTTTATCATCACAGGCACAGAGGGTTTATCATCACAGGCCCAGGGGGGTTATCATTACAGGCCCAGGGGGTTTATCATCACAGGCCTAGGGGGGTTTATCATCACAGGCCCAAGGGGGTTTATCATCACAGGCCCAGGGGGTTTATCATCACAGGCCCAGGGGGTTTATCATCACAGGCCCAGGGGGGTTTATCATCACAGGCCCAGGGGGTTTATCATCACAGGCCCAGGGGGTTTATCATCACAGGCCCAGGGGGTTTATCATCACAGGCCCAGGGGGTTTATCATCACAGGCCCAGGGGGTTTATCATCACAGGCCCAGGGGGTTTATCATCACAGGCCAAGGGGGTTTATCATCACAGGCCCAGGGGGTTTATCATCACAGGCCCAGGGGGTTTATCATCACAGGCCCAGGTGGGTTTATCATCACAGACCCAGGGGGTTTATCATCACAGGCCCAGGGGGTTTATCATCACAGGCCCAGGGGGTTTATCATCACAGGCCCAGGGGGGTTTATCATCACAGGCCCAGGGGGTAGTAAAGAAAGTCATCATGCATCATGCGTTCATTTGGGCTTCTAGGTAGGTAGGAACCTATGAACGTATAATGCGTTCCTTGAGACTCAGAGAGTTAATCTCTCTGTCAGCCTGCATTGTTGACACCAAGCGAGTCCTCTTTCCTCAGCATTGCAAGCCCTTGAGGTTCATTGCTGCGCATATCACCTCTCTGGTTGGCTTTCTCTTTTCAGTTTGTATCTCTGTGTGGATATTATCTCTCCATCGATTTCTTGATCTGCCTTGTGGTCTAAGACCATTCAGCTCCCTTGTGTATATAGAATTCCAAGTGCAGTGGTCGTTTTTATTTGAATGTTTTCCTTGAGGTCCAGACTGAAAGTCAGCTGGTTGGTTGATTGTTGGCGTATTTGTCTGTTGCAGACATGGGGAGTGATAGCAAGGGGACCACTGGTCGCCTGGTGGTCCCATCCCAAGAGGCTGAAGATGGTGAGGATGGGTTTGATACCAGTGTCCTGGGTGATCTGAGTTATATCACATTCGATCACACAAAACATTCGTCACAGACAGGTCAGTCACATTTTGCCTTCTTTTCTTCGTTACTTCCTCTGTTACCGGGTCGGGTGTTAAGGGTATAAGGGTCTGCTTTTTGCTCTTCTGGCCACATCAACCAGACACATCGTATGCTGTTCAGTGTTGCCACTTTGGATGTTTTACATCCAGATTTAGATGTTTTCCCTTGCATTTAGATAGCATTTTTGACATTTAGATGGTAGATGTTTTTCTAGAGGTTTTTGGGAGTGAATTTATCAAATCTAACCTAAGAAACAGGATAAAATTTGACCTCTTAAATGCTGTCTTGACAATAAAATTTTGCCTGAAAGGAGTAGGAAAAGGCTGTTCCACTTATCAGTAAGTTTATCCTGTATTCTTGTGAGGCAGACTTCAATAAAGATGAGGACATGATTCTTTAGTGTAAGTCATATCAATAGCTATGTAATTTGTGACTCTATACATTTTAATGTTTTTTAGATGTTTTTCACACAAATTTAGATGTTTTTTGATATTTTTTTACTCCATTTTGGATGTTTTTTGTCAAAGAAAAGTGGCAACACTGATGCTGTTGTAGAGTTTCTCTGATGTTATCTTTCTGTCTTGTTCTTGGTTTACCTTGTGCTCTGAATACTTCTTCTCTTTTATTGTATGCCTTGTATGGTGTGTCGTCACAAGGCATTCACTTTAACTGGGTAAACTATTTGATTGGCTCTTTGTATGTAATTTAGAATAATATTACGCTTGATCACACTCAGCTTTTGTCACAGACACACCAGTCATGTTACGTTGATCACACAAAGTGTTCCATACAGGTCAGTTTAGTAATATAGCCTGTGATCACACACAACGCTCGTCACAGACAGGTTAGTAGTATTATCCTTGATCACACAAAGTGTTCCATACAAATCAGTTTAGTAATATAGCCTGTGATCACACACAACGCTCGTCACAGACAGGTTAGTAGTATTATCCTTGATCACACAAAGTGTTCCATACAAATCAGTTTAGTAATATAGCCTGTGATCACACACAACGCTCGTCATAGACAGGATAGTAGTATTACCCTTGATCACACAAAGTGTTTCACAGAGACAGGTCGTCAGTAATACTACCTTCGATCACAAACAACACTCATCACAGGCAGGTCAGTCATATTACCTTTGATCACACATAGTGTTCATCACAGGCAGGTCAGTAATAGTTACACTCAATCCCACAACACTCCTCACAGTAATGTTTATATTATTATAGGTTTAAAATTTATACTCTGTTTATGTTGTCTATTTTTTTGCTTCATTTTGTTTGCAGTGCCTTGTCCGGAAATTATTCATGGAGACACAGTCACCGACAGGAAAAGTACTTTTCAAGCACATCTGGCTTTTGTGAGTGACAAAAATCAGGTACTTCCTGGATGCTCAGAATTTACCAGTCATCATCGTCATCCTCTGACTTTATCTCTGCTTTGAAAAGTTGAAACAAACTGGCATATTCATCAGAATAGCAATCAGCTGCTTAGATGTGTTTCTGCAGAAGAATTGTAGGGGAAAACAAGATTTTCAAGTCAAAAGAGCCGACTTTATTGCAGCAGGTTTTATCCCTCAAGGCTCGGTCTCTGTTCAGAATGACTAGTCTCTCTGTATGAACATCAAATTAAGACTGAATCTAGTGAACATCAAATTAAGACTGAATCTAGTGAGCATCACATTAAGACTGAATCTAGTGAGCATCATATTAAGGCTGAATCTAGTGAGCATCAAAATAAGACTGAATCTATTGAACATCATATTAAGACTGAATCTATTGAACATCAAATTAAGGCTGAATCTAGTGAACATCAAATTAAGGCTGAATCTAGTGAACATCAAATTAAGGCTGAATCTATTGAACATCAAATTAAGGCTGAATCTAGTGAACATCAAATTAAGGCTGAATCTATTGAACATCAAATTAAGGCTGAATCTAGTGAACATCAAATTAAGGCTGAATCTAGTGAACATCAAATTAAGGCTGAATCTAGTGAACATCATAATAAGACTGAATCTAGTGAACATCATATTAAGACTGAATCTAGTGAGCATCAAATTAAGACTCAATCTAGTGAACATCAAATTAAGACTGAATCTAGTGAACATCATATTAAGGCTGAATCTAGTGAGCATCAAATTAAGAATGAATCTAGTGAGCATCATATTAAGGCTGAATCTAGTGAGCATCAAATTAAGAATGAATCTAGTGAGCATCAAATTAAGAATGAATCTAGTGAACATAATTACTGAATGTGGAATATACAAACTGACATTGTCACATGGAGACAGTGTGAGACATGTGCAAGATACTTCTCAATAAACGCTGTTTATGTTTTAATTTCTGAGATTGTCCAGGTGACAGAAACAGACATATTTGATTGTTTGATCAAATAATCTCTGAGATTGTCCAGGTGACAGGAACAGACATATTTGATTGTTTGATCAACTATTCTCTGAGATTGTCCAGGTGACAGGCGCAGACATATTTGATTGTTTGATCAACTAATCTCTGAGATTGTCCAGGTGACAGGCGCAGACATATTTGATTGTTTGATCAACTAATCTCTGAGATTGTCCAGGTGACAGGCGCAGACATATTTGATTGTTTGATCAACTAATCTCTGAGATTGTCCAGGTGACAGGCGCAGACATATTTGATTGTTTGATCAACTGATCTCTGAGATTGTCCAGGTGATAGGAACAGACATATTTGATTGTTTGATCAACTATTCTCTGAGATTGTCCAGGTGATAGGAACAGACATATTTGATTGTTTGATCAACTGATCTCTGAGATTGTCCAGGTGACAGGCGCAGACATATTTGATTGTTTGATCAACTGATCTCTGAGATTGTCCAGGTGACAGGAACAGACATATTTGATTGTTTGATCAACTGATCTGTGAGATTGCTTTCTGTTTTAGGTACACATGGTTCTTAACCAACTTCTAGAGAATAAGAAGATCGCCAATGCAACCCACAACATGTTTGCTTACAGAATCATTGCAGACTCTGGAGTCACATACCAAGGATGTGATGATGACGGGGAGACTCACGCAGGCTCTAGGATGCTTCACTTGCTGCAGGTAGGATTAGATGTTGACATCAATCAGGCTTGGACAAAATAAATTTTAGGATGTTGACCTTAATCACACAGACAAAATCAATGTTAGGATCACGTGTTGACCTATATTAAACTGAGACAACATAAAAAAAACAACCAGGGCTTTAAAAAAAAAAAGTGCTTGTGATCACTACAAAGTGTCTAAAAAAAACAAAGTGCTGCTAGCTGGCCAGAGACGTTACTCACCATGCAGTATCTATTCTAGAAGTGCTGAAATTTTAAACAATCCCAGTCTGTTCAAATGTTCACATAACTCTATTTGAAACATATTGTTGATATTTTCAAGTAAAAGATATAGGATGGTTTCAACTTCAGAACCTAACTGATGATTGAAGCATTACCATTCTTTTTTAAACATGACCGATGATTGAAGAAATGCCATAGTTTCAAAACGTAAATTCAACTGTTGATTGAAGAAGGACCGTGGTGTCAAGCTTTAAACTCAACCAATGATTGAAGAAATAAAAATGTTTCAACCTTTAAACTTAAATGACAATGGAAGAAATACCATGATTTCAACATTTAAACTTGACTGATTCTTGAAGAAATACTCTACTTGAAATGTTTAAACCTGACTGATGGTTGACTTTCAGATTATGGATGCTAAGAATGTGCTTGTTGTTGTGTCTCGCTGGTACGGTGGCATTCTGCTGGGCTCGGACCGATTTAAACACATCAATAATTGCACCAGACAGATCCTAGAGGCCAATGGTCTCCACAGGGATAAGGTTGGTTGTGTTAGTGTTTGTGGTAGAAAGTTTTGGATTTTACTGTATCACCATGAAAGCTAGACTGTTAAGACCTACTAATGTTCTGCCCTTCCTTGTAGGACCTACAGAAGTTCCAGCTTTCCATGATCCTGGGCTGGTAGGACCTACAGAAGTTCTACCCTTTTTTTGGTAGGACCTACAGAAGTTCTACCTTTCCATGATCCTGGGCTGGTAGGACCTACAGAAGTTCCACCTTTCCATAATTCTTGGCTGGTAGGACCTACAGAAGGTCTACCCTTCCTTGTAGGACCTACAGAAGTTCCACCTTTCCATGATCCTGGGCTGGTAGGACCTACAGAAGTTCTACCTTTCCATGATTCTTTGCTGGTAGGACTTACAAAAGTTCTACCCTTCCTTGTTCCTGCACTTGTGGGGTCTACAGAAGTTCTACCCTTCCTTGTTCCTGCACTTGTGGGGTCTACAGAAGCTCTACCCTTCCTTGTTCCTGCACTTGTGGGGTCTACAGAAGTTCTACCCTTCCCTGTTCCTGCACTTGTGGGGTCAGAAGTTCTACCCTTCCCTGTTCCTGCACTTGTGGGGTCTACAGAAGTTCTACCCTTCCTTGTTCCTGCACTTGTGGGGTCTACAGAAGTTTTACTTTTCCTTGTTCCTGCACTTGTGGGGTCTACAGAAGTTCTACCATTCCTTGTTCCTACACTTGTGGGGTCTACAGAAGCTCTACTTTTCCTTGTTCCTGCACTTGTGGGGTCTACAGAAGTTCTACCCTTCCCTGTTCCTGCACTTGTGGGGTCTACAGAAGTTCTACCCTCCCTTGTTCCTGCACTTGTGGGGTCTACAGAAGTTCTACCCTCCCTTGTTCCTGCACTTGTGGGGTCTATAGAAGTTCTACCCCTCTTGATCCTGGGCTAGTAGGACCCCATAATTGCAAACTTACTTGAAACTGGGCATGTGGTTTACTAGGGGACGTTCTGCCTATGGAGTTCTGAGAAAAGCAGGAAAGTAGCATCCCTTGTACGCCCCTTGCAGATGTTGATAACATCTCAACGACTGGGAATCAGAAACATTGGGCCACCACCAGTGTGACAAAATTCTCAGAAGGAGAAAAGCTGCCATCTTTATAGAATACATGTAAATGTGTAGCTATGGAAGTCAAGGGAAAACTACTAAATCATCTCCAAAAAATTCATCCATGGAGAATTACAATGTTAGATTTATAATGGGGTGATTAAAGCAGAGCTTTCGAAACTTCATGTTCAAGACACACTTTTCAGCAAGCATAATTTTATGACATAGTAATTCAGTCTACTAGTTTACTAAATAATCCAATGTGTAAGAGATATGTAACATTTTAGTGTAGCATGGAATTGCTTTAGAACCTTTAAGCGCTGCGTTGTGTGCAGTCAAATGTTGAAGCTTTGTACATCAGCATTCACGGTAGGGAGTTCTTGCCAGTTATACTTTTTTAACACTTTTCATTCACACAACACACATTCGCACTGCAGCTGGCTACTGACGTGTCGTGACCCACACTTTGGAAAGCTCTGGATTAAAGTGAGTGGACGAACTTTATTACAGCACAGCTGACTCAGTAACTGCGATCCTTACCCATACAGGACTACAGTTTATGTCTGGCTGGTGTAGCCGCTACAGGTGTCCTAATGATAACGTCTTTGGAGGTTTAGCTGTTTTAGTAGCAGAAAAAAGTTTCATAGGATATGCCAGTGAAGAGATATCCGTCAGTAAAATTCATCAGTGCATTAATTTCAAAGCAGTAATTTAACAGTTGTAATGACTATTGGATAAGCTAGATTTTTTTTAGCATTTTCAGACCAAATACAAAAAGTAAGAGAACATATTGAGCTAGGGAGAGGTTCGAGCAGATACAGTTGTAATAAATCTTGGTCTACTTGAAATGAAGCGTGGTCTGCTTGGAATGAGTCGATGCTACACTTGGAATGAACCTTGACGTAGACCAGCTTTAACATCTAGGGTTGACAACACAAACGCCGCTCAGCTTCTTGGTACATTCTGTCAGTTTATTCTCGTCCATTTATTTCACATGTTCAACATTATTCACACTTTATCACTCGCGACATATTCGAACATTCAACATTTGCGCAACATAAAGACGACATCTTCAAATACTACAACCGTCTTCTCTGACTTCTGATGATCGACTGACCACGAGTCTAGCTCGGGCTTTCCCTCGCTTCCTCGACTAGGCACAAGTATCTCGTGCTGTCCCTTGTTGCACGGACTTTCTGCTTGCCACTATGTAATCGTGAGGACCATGCAAAGCAGGGTCATTACATCCTCCCGCCTTTTAACAAAATGATACTTTATGGAACATCAAGTATCATTTTCCATTCAACTTTTGAATGAATTAATAGCACTAAAATCTAACTTCGCTATTCAGGATTAGTGTTCCTAATTAGCCTAAATTACTGCCCTTATTTTAATTTTCTACTGTATGCTTTTTCTAGTACTAAACTGGTGAAGGGTATATTTATCTTTGCACGTATTGCATCTGTAGTATAGCTTCGTCACTATATCTATTCTATTAGGTTCAAGTGAAATG